TTGAACTCATTGGCAAAGGAAAGAACTTTCTAAACAGGACCCTGATAATACAGGCACTGATACCAATAATGAGTAAATAGGAATTCATAAAACTAAAAAGTTTCTTACAACAAAGTTCACTTCCATTCTAGTGAAGAGGCAGCCTACAGAATGGGAAAATATATTTACCGCTCCACATCAGAAAAAGGGTTAGAGTCTAGAATACATCAGAATTCAAATGGCTAAATAGCTAGGAAGCAGATAATATGATGTAAAAATGGGGCATGTAACTAAACATAGTTCTCAAAAAATAAAATATAAATGGCTGAGAAACAGTTATTTGTTTTTATATTCAAAAATCCGTAGCCACCAATGAAATACAAATCAAAGCTACACTGAGATTTCATCTCACCCCATCAAAATAACTGAGAACAAGGAAGTAAATGACCGTCAGTGTTGGTAAGGATGTGTGAAAGGGGACACTTATTCACTGCTGGAAGTAGTGAAAACTGGTGTAACTACTACAGAAATTCATGTGGAGGTTCTTTAAGAAGCTAAAAATAGACATATCATACGATCCAGCATTGGTCTCCAACATATCCCCAAAGGACTCCATATCCTACTGTGGAGATACTTGTTCATTCGTGTTTGTTGCTGCTGTTTTTAATATCCAGGAAGCTGAAACAGCCTAGATGCCCATGAATATTGAATGAATATTGAAAATGTTCTTAGCCAGTGAGGTCCCCATAGACCCCAAATGTTGCAGGCTATTGTCAACGTTCTTGGTTCCTCTAGAATTTGATGGATCCTGTTGCTGAAAACACCATATACTTGAGCCATAAAACATGGAGAAATCAAGCTGATACTGACCTCAACATTTTATCCCTACTGGCTAGTTTTTATGGTTCTTTGAGGTGCTATGTACACTACTAGAGAAGAAAAGAAACCATCTATATTAGCAGCTATGAACCCATGAGGAGACGCTTCATACCTGAAGTACAATAATCTCAATTGATGTAGATATGTATATTTCAGCAAGTGACCATTTATGAATGTTGTTCCCAAGATAGATGAGTCTGTGTGTTAGCAGACAGGGGGAGCAGAGATAGTTGGAGGAAAAAGATGTCCTAGTACATCTGGGTACCCTTCTACATGTGCTGGACCCTGTGGTTTCATACTATGACCTGGGGATACAATGATGAACTAACCAGATGTGGCATCAACTGCAGCTTGTATAAGTAGGTAGACAGGATGCAAAGAATCACACACACGAAGCATCTGAGTCGAGGAATTGAGAGTTAGGAAGGGAAGGATGTTACAGTCACGTACTCATGCTAAGTTGAGGATCTGAGGCAGGAGAAAGAGGCAACTGAGAAACTAGGGGAAGGCCCATATGACTAGATTTCAGAGAAGAGGAATGACTGTCACTGAAGCAGGCTGTACAGATTCCATGGACTTACCTCCACCCAGAGTGCAGTCACCAGAATTGTAAAATGAACTCATCTCTTCCCAAAGCTATGAGCACCATAGCAGGAAGCAGGATGCTCTTGGGACTTCTTACACTTGGCTGCAAAGATGGGCACTAAGCTCTCAGTCTCCGTATCACATGGGGTCTCTGCTGCTGAGTCCAGCCCATATCCAGACTTCCTTTTGGGGAAATCTAGAAAGCTTCTCTTTGGAAGCTTTAGGGTCTCTGGTATCAGAAGGAACCTCATCTGAAATTATCTCAAGCCAAGAGAGGGGTTCTAACATCTAAACCTCAGTAGTCCTTTGCTCTTTCCTGATGCTTTCCCCCACCCCTTGATACCTCTTGTCTCCACCTTCCCTCCTGTGATGGTTTGTATATGCTTAGCCCAGGCTGTGGCACTATTAGGAGGTACGGCCTTGTTGGAGTAGGTGTGTCACTGTGGGCGTGAGCTTATGAGCTTCATCCTAGCTGCCTGGAAGTCAGACTTCCACTAGCAGCCTTCAGATGCAGAACCCTTAGCTCCACCTGCACCATGCCTACCTGGACACTGCCATGCTCCTGCCTTGATGATAATGGACTGACCCTCTGAACCCGTAAGCCAGCCCTAGTTAAACATTGTCCTCATAAGTGTTGCCTGGGTCACGGTGTCTGCTCACAGCAGTAACACTCTAACTAAGGCACCTCCTATTGACCCCTGTTCCCCTTTCCACACAGCAAGCTAATGTGACAGGTCACCTACCCAGGGTCTTTGGTGGTCCTTAGATATGTATTCCCCATAGCCACGGGTACCCAGATACCTAGAGTCCCCAAAATCATAGCCACTCTCATCAGCCTTAGTACTAGGACACTGGACTTCAAGCTTTAGATTTTCTTAACATCTTATACCAGAACACTGATCTCTTCAGAGCTTTGTAGCTTTGGGTCATGAGTTCTAGGATAGGCAGTGGGAGACTAAGGTCCCCGTATGTCATCCCTCCCCCAGGGTTAGGTCACCAGAGAACTTTTCAGCCTTGAGTGCTGATCAAATTGTAATCCTCTGGACATGGCTGAAAACCTAGTTCATTCTCTTGACTGGCCTGAGTATGTACCAGGCTTCAGCTTTCTGCTGATGTAGGCTCACTCTTCAGTTCTAACCTGTGATAATTTTAGCTAAAACAGTCTAATCCTTCTGTATCTTCAGAGAACTGGTTCTAGAAATCTGTGGATATCAGAATCCATGGATTCCAAGTCTCTTGTATAAAATTTACAAAGTTCCATAAAACTTATGTACAGCTTCCTATTTACTTTAAATCCTCCCTAGATGTATAATACTAAATTCAATGTGTTATGTGCATAGTTATATTATATTAATTAGGGAATAATGACAAAAATGTCAACATGGAGGTGTGTGTGTGCATGCTCTCAAGTGTGTGAGTGTGTGTGTGTGTGTGTTCATTTGTGTGTTTTCAGGCATGTACACAGTGGCACACTTACGGAGGTCAGATGACAATCTTGGGTAATGGTCCTTTCCTTCCATCCCATTTTTTGAGAGAGTGTGTCTTGCATTTGCCTCCGTATATGCAAGGTCAGCTAACTAGCAAGCTTTTGGGTGATTCTCCTATCTCTGACTCCCATCTATAATAAACGTATGCTGGGATTACAGATGTGTGCAGCTGTATCTAGTTTTATTAGAATTCTGGGAATTCAAACTCAGGTTCACATGCTTTCACAGCAAGCCATTTACTGGCTGAGACATCTCTCTAGCCCCAAGAGACAATTAAAAAGTATTTCTGATACATAGTTGGTTGAATCTACAAGTGCAGACCCTGTATCCACAGAAACCAGGGGCCAGTTGTAGTTAACGGTTACTTTGTTCTAAACACTTTACATGTGTTACTTCAGTTCCTCACAAGTCACCCCCAAAATGAGGTTACAAGAGTCTAACCTTCATTCTGCCGATGTTTCCAAAGTCACCAAAATACAGTTTATGAGGCTGAGATTTGAACCTCTAAATGCCAGACCCTGCAGTACCACGTGACCTCCTCTTGTCCAGCAGCACCCAGACTTCTCTCCCAGAGAAACTCCCCAGGTTTGCAAAGCTGGAGTTTGTCGAGTTTCCAGATTTGCAAAGCTACTTCCTGATTCTTCACAAATATTTCTCTACAAAATCTCCTTTCTAGTTCCTAATCAAGGCTAAAAGACCTAGATAGTCTAGCTTGGTAAGCCCAAGCTAACAAGAGCAGGAAGTTAGGGCCCCATGGGAAGTCCCTGTGGTTCAGAGTGTCAGGCAGGGATCTTTTTTCACCTCAGGGCCCCAGTGCCTCCCACGCCCATGTCAGGCCAAATAGAGAGACCTTGGGAATGAGTTCAGATGAATGAACAGCTAAAGAAAAAGCAAGGAACTTTGGCCAGGTCACTCAAGTGAGGATGAGCTCTCCTGTCCCGTCAGGAGAGAGAGTTGCAGCTGGCAAGATTGCAAGCAGCTTTATGTTTGCCTGCCCTCTCCTTCATCTTCATATTAAGGCATTGCCTGGAGCAAGGCCTAGTTTTAAGTGCACACAATTTATAAACCATTTTATGGCCTGCATATCAGTCTAAGGCTGGGCAGGGAGTGCCAGGCCTTTTTGCTTCTAACAAAGTAAGGCCTAGAGGGGAAAATGACATGCCCAGACTCTCTCAAAGAGTTACTGCCATCCTGAAGTTCAGCCCCAGGGATCACTGGCTGCTGGTACCTGCCTATCAGCCTCATGGTTATTAAGCACCCAGGAGTTGTCCACTCCTTGGTGGGAGGGCACAGAGGCAGGAAGCCAGAGCAGGTTGGTTGAACCTCAGAGGAACAGGAGTCAGAGAACTGAGAGTTTCAGAGAAAGTTGAGAGAACGCATCTGGCCTTCTGCAGTGAGTTTTGACAGTGGTACAATGGTGAAACGCAAGCAGACTTGGAAAATGGGGTAAACTTCTGAGCAATACTGTGACCAGCATAATGCTCAGATCATTAACTAACCCAGCCCAAGTCTTCTTCTTTGCTGTTTCCTGCAATTGTAACATTCTTTCCCTTCCCCAGCTCAAATGCCACTGTTCTCAAAGAGACTTCCCTGGTCACTGTCTAAGATATCTGCCTGGGTACCTCGTAGACATGTCATGCATTTGATTTCTCCTGTGACCCTTACTCCCATAAGGAATGAGCTTATTTTACACAAGTGGCCTTGTTTGGCTTGCAACCAGTGCTTGTGAGAGCACTTGTAGGAGCCACAGGCAGGACTAAGTCAGGATATGTTTTGAATAAATGCGTGCATGCATGATGGTCTCATAACAGCTGGGTTTTGAGTGATACAAAGGTCCCACCTCATAAATCCAGCTCTTTCCCCACATGTGACCTCCAGTTTTACGTAGATAAGAACCAGTTTGGCTTCTGCTAGCCTGAGTCACCCCTCTGGAAGCTGAGCCTGGCTTGGCTTCAGTCATCAGCGACCCACCTCTTAGGGCTGACTGGCCTGTGTAGGAGTATGGGAGTGGCCACCTCCCCCCTCTTAGTCTGCTTAGGTAGCTGCAAAGGAGGGGCAGTTCCACCCTAGGAAGGTCTGTGCCATAGACGCTGCCTGGGTGTTCCTTTATACACACCATATCTTTCTGGAGTGGGACGTTGGAAAGCAGTGGAAGATCTTGTGTCCTGTTTAGCTCCTCCATGGCTTCAGGTAAGCTCTTTGAAGTCATGTGAAAAGTAAGGGAGGAATTGTCCACCACTAGTGTTGGCCAGATGCACAGAGCACTAGGCTATCAGGAAAATCTGGACAATAGAAAGCCACCACATCCCAGGAAACTACCTAGATATGCTGGGGCAAAGGGGGTACACCTGATATGAGGAAAGCCGCCAGAGGTGTTGGACATTCTCCACTGTTTATAGAAACAAGAAATAGATGAAATGTCTCTGTAAGATGGTGGAAAGGAGTATGTGTGTAATGAGAACTGCTGATAAGAAGTCGCTTGTGTCCACAAGGTTGAAGAGTGATAGAGAAGGGCAGAGTCTGCAGAGGATTAACAGACTGACACTAGGCAACTCCTAGACATGTTTGCCATAGAGAATGTAGGCTCAGGTAGATGTTCTTAAAGGAAAAGCCAAATATTATCTGTGGTACTATCTAGTATTTCCAGAACCAGACAGAATCTTATTTTAAAATAGCTTATTCCAAAATATATAGAACTAGCAGACACATAGGTGTTACATGCTGGTGAGCATGAACTGGGTTGAATTCAGGAATCAGTGCAAGCAAGCACAGTATAGACACCACAGTCCCTGAAAGAAGGAATCAGAAACATTGTCAAAAGCCAAAGAGATGGAAGCTTACAATTGTGGCTAAGAGGAAACCGTGGCTCTAAGAATCGAGAGGTTAAGCACGTGATTTGATGGGGGAGAGGGTGCAGAGTGAGGACAGGAGCAAGGGTGTACCATATACTCTCCGGGTCTTTACTTTATCTATGGAGTCCTGCTTCTTACCTCACAGATGAATCTTATAAAGAAGGAAGGGAGAAAGAGAAGGAGAAAGCAATGGTGATGGGAAGGATAAATTCTGTTTAGGCCCCACATCTGAAGATAGTTTAAGAATGCTATCCACTAACAGTGTCTTAAAATAAATGACTTAACTTGAATCAATGGTGGACGTGACCATTCTTTTATTTACTCTGGTCTCTTCCTGGATGAGAAGCTCATTTTTGGCTTTTATATGTATTTCAGTAATCTATTAGTCTCGGTGTCTGTCTTATTTATCATCTATGAATTCATCTATCATCTAAACTACATATCATCTATCCAAATGGATCATATCTTTGCCAATAAGAACAAGCTAAATTAGCAAGGGACGGTCATTAAATCAATGTGTTTGCAATTTGTGGCACCATCCACCAGGGTTCACAATTTAGAGTGAGCAATCATGCTAGGTTTTTCAAAGACTGAGGAGCTCACAAGATACAGAATTTTCAGTAATGAAGCTAAGACAGTCTTTGACAAACCAAGGTAGTTTGTCATTCTAGTCCATAACCAGGTAAAATGGCTTTCATTATAGCCTATACAAGGCTTTAAAATCATTTTTCCTTACATTCCATACGCTTTTCCATATCTCCAAGCAGTTATGAACTAAATAGCTACTCTATAGGATAATGAGCCAGAGCCAAAACATAAAATCATAAGAATAAGTAGATTTCCTGCTCTCACTGACCTTGCAATGAAGCAAAGAAGGTAAACACCTGTGGCAAGACAGTAGTATGGGAAAGAACGAAAACCAAAATTTAAACCTTGCCTCAGACAGCGTCTAGAGGAAGTGTAGTCTTTCTGGGCCTTGAGGTTTTTTCTGCAAGCTGTCCAAGCGCATTCCCACCATGAAAGTGTGTTCTATGATGTCCACCTTACACAGAGTAGACTGGTATGAAGAATATAGTACAAGATGGGGTATCACTCAGTGGCAGACTGTCCCACCTGTGGTAGTTTGGATGAGAAACGCTTGGGCATTTGACCATTTGGTGCCTGGTTGGTGGGCTGTCTGGAGAAGTTTAGGAGGTGCAGCCTTGCTTGAGGAGAACATTACAGTGGGTGGGACCATTTAAAGCTTCAGTCCACTTCCAGTTCATTTCTGTTTTGTGTCTGTGGTTGAAGATATAAGCTCCCAACTGCCTGTCCAGGCACCATGCTTCTACATGATAGACTCTTATCCTCTCTTGAGCCGTATAAACTTTTTTTCTATAAGTTGCTCCAGATTATGGTGTTTTATCACTGCAACATAAAAGTAGTGAATGCAGGAACAGAGGTGGGCACTACAAATGACAGCACAGCTGTGCCCTGTCTCAGAACTCCTGTCCATCTCCATTATCTCTTGCCTAGTGAAGTTAACCAGCAGAGAAAAGAGCATGTACCTCTGAAGACATGATAACTATAAAAACAGTGGCATTCAGAGCCAATCCATATCACACCCACACACCATGGAAGTAAAAGCCATTTAGGAAGACTTAACCTCGGAAAGGATTGAGGGAAGGCTTTTGGAATCTGGATCTGGGAAGAAATTGAGCCTCTTGAAAAGCACTGATCCACAGGTGTTGATTTATGCCCTGCCTCCTGAATAACCTTTACTAGCCAAGCGAGTACACATGATCACCTTGACACCAGAAAGGTAGAGGGCTGCAGCTTGGGTAGAGATGCCCAGAAGCACAGCTCTCTCCAAGCCTGACCTGCCCTAGGGAGTTTCTAACACAGGGTTTTATTAAGATGAGCTCAAATACCTAACATAGGTAGCTAGAAGCAGATGGACCAAAAAAAAATATCAGGTATACCATCCAGTGTTTTTTTTACCCTACTTCCTGTCATACTAATATATTTATACATGACTTGGAAGGAACAACTTTGGCCCACTGTTTTAGTAAGAATTAGCAAAGTTAGATAATATTTCCAAAACTGTATGGTGCATACACCAGTGCCCAGCTATTCGAGTGTTGGCTAGAGGCTATGAGATGATTTTGTTACAACTCAGGGTGCATACTTACTCACCCAAGGCCACATGCAGGCAGCTGACAAATGGTGCCTGGTGACACAAGCTCAGCTCCAACAGGCAGGGGCAATACTCACATCAGGATTCATAAAAGTTTCCTAGTAATATGGATTTATCAGTAAGAATGCAAGGGGTGAGAGACCTGCATGTGGACCATTTGAGACTTAGAGGAGTTTGGTACTGGAACAAATAAAGATGGTTTCTCTCCAGAAAAAAGGAAAGTCAGCCAAATGTTCCTGCCTCTGTGGGGCACTGGAGCTGGCAAGTTGCCAAGTTCCCACTCACAGACACAGGGTGGTTGCTTTAGATCTTCCTTGGTGGGAGTATTTAAGCTGCAGCAACTGGGAAATGCTGTAAATAAAATTTACAGGGGAGACAGAGTGGTTAAACACAGCATAATTCAGGCTCAACCACCCCACTTCTGTCTTCCAGTAGTAATCTAACTACAGTCTATCTTCTGACCCCATGACTATTGGGATAAAACAAGGCTGACAACACTCTCCAGTGTGATTTTCCTTAAGATGGATCCTAGATCTTTGGGGTAGCATTAATGGGCTTTCTTGTTCTGGCTCCTAGGCAGCTCTCCCATTGTCCCTTTTAACTCTACCCCCAAACATGGTGAATTTGAATGTTAATACTGTCACTTCGATAAGATCTAGAATCACCTAGAGGACAAGCCTCTGGGTGTGTCTATATGGTAGTTTGTAAATTGAATTAACTGGGTGGGAAAATGTACCAATCTGTGGACTTCACCAGTCTATGCTCGGCACAGGACTGGATAAAGGAAAACGAGCAGCTAGCTCATTTCTCATAGGAAACTGAGCTAGCGGTCATTACTCTCCGCTTCCTGACTGCAGACACTGTGACCAGCTGAGCACAAGTGGTCACTATTCTCGGCTTCCTAACTGTAGATACTGTGACTAGCTGAGCAGTAACCATTGATACTGTGACCAGCTGCTTTCTCCACCATGATCAACATTCAAACAGTGAGCCAAAACAAACCCTTCCTTCTTTTTGCTTTAGTTGGTGTTTAATGACAGAAATGAGAAGAGAAGTAATAGGACTTTTTTAAAATGGGGGTAACACTCAGTTCCATCTGGGTTTAGTCCTTGAGGAATCACTCCCTGAGCTAAGATTTTTGAGGATCCATTGACCTTGGTTTGGAGAACTCAAAACAAACTGGTTAAAATTTATACATTATATTGCATTCAGGAAAAGGGGTCTGTGCAGTCTGAGAGAGACTCCCAGAGAATTAGAACAGCCCTCTCAAGTATCCAAGCCCACTTATAAATGAGCTCAACTCTTATTTGGGTAAATGTTACCTGGGACCTCAGGGTTCTGGGCCAGTTGCCCAGCAGGAGCAAAATGACCCATCTAAGGATGAAGATAACATCATACACATCCTTAAAATTCCCTACATGTTGAATATTCAGTATCCCTGAGCAAATATAAAGACATGCTGTGTTAGCTGGCTTTGTGTTCATATAATAAAATAGCTGATATGATTAACTTACCAAGAGAAGGGACTTAACTGGGTCACAGCTTTGGAGCCTCTGGTCCAAAATTAAATGGTCTTATTGCTTAGAGTTTTATGTGTATACCAGATATCAATACTGCAGAGTACATAACTTTATCACCCAGGAAATAAAGAACAAGGAAAAGGCAGAGAAAATCCCTTCAAAAGTATGCCTCCAGTGACCGAAGGCTCTTTCTCCATAACCTCAGTAAGGCCATTCCAGGAACCATAATATATATGCAAGGCAATTTGTGCATTAAAGGAAAACAGACAGTAGGAGGATACCCAGAAGGAACTCTGATAATGGAGTTATGAGGGACTGCCTTTTAAAAGCACATGCAGGAATGAGAAGATGGCTCAGTTGACAAAATGTTGGCTTGCACAAGCATGAGGAACTAATTTCAAATTCCCACTATCCATGTTAAAACTGGGCATCACCATGTGAGCCTGTAATACTAGCACTGGGTAGGTGGTAGAAGGAGGGTCTCTGGGGCTCACTAACGTAGCTGAATCCATTCAGTGAGAGACACATAGAAGAGTCGTGAAGGAAGACACCCAACATACATATGTGCCAGGAAGTGTTCATGAACCCCAAAAGACCACCAAGGAGCCGACTCTGATGTAATCACATTAGGGTCTCTTTATTGCAAACTCGAGTTTAGGCTTATACACCGTCAACCCACAAGATGGTTTGGTGAAGCAGCCCTGAACCCTCTTTGGGACAGGGTTTTATAGGAAAATGGGAACAAGTGAGGAGTATCTAGCCTGGCAAACATCTGATAGAATGACTATTGTAAGCAGACAGGTGGGTGCTCTGAAGCAAGACCATGAACAATCACAAAAGGTCTGAAAGTACATCTGAAACAATCAGACTAGTCTTTGATTAACTGTTGCAAGGAAGTAGCTACAGAGTAACTCTGGGGTACAGGCCAAGGACAGGCCATGGGGTTCTTCTTGGTTCTTGAGTGCAACTTGGGTTCTGCTGCAGGTCAAGTTCTCAGGTGTTTTGGTTTTTTTTTTTCCTTTTAAGATGGAGTCCAGACCCAAGATGGAGTAGGAGTAGGTTTGGTTCTCTCTCTCTCTCTCTCTCTCTCTCTCTCTCTCTCTCTCTCTCTCTTTCATACACACACACACACACACACACACACACACACACACACAGAGTACATAGGCCCAGATATAATATTTCCAAAGATTTACAAAGAAGACAAGTTTAAATTTTCTGATAAAGAGCTACAAACTATATTGTTTTTTTTTTTTTAAAAAAAAGGAATCAAATGGAAATTCTAGAACTGAAAGACCTTATCAACTGAAATTAAGAACTAACAAAGAGCTACCAAAAATTTCCATGTGGTCAATGCTGTGCTTAATATATAAAAGGCTTCAACATAAGACAATTGTAAAGGTGGTCTCTCCTTGTAACCTGATGCAAAGGCGATCTTAAGGCCCCTGATCCATGTGTGAGAACACTTGTTTATACCTTGCTGTGCCCTTAAAGCTCCTGTTATTGCCTAATGCCTCTTCTGATGTGTGGCTAGCTCAGGTTTTCTATCCCCTTGCCTCGATAGAACCCAGAAGGAAGTCGCTGGGCTCTGTTTGTGTTGAGATCCTTAAGCTTGTTCAGGAAGTAAAGTTTGGGCTGAGTCTCCCAGAATTGGTGAGCAGTATTGCCAAGATCACCAACAGTAACACCACAAGAAAAAATTAAAATTAAAAGTGGAATTGAGGCCAGAAGATGAGGAAAGAAAGAAGACTTTTTCCTTCCTCCTCTCCCCCCTCTAGTAGGGAGATACGCTTAGGCTCACCACAGAAAATCCAGGAAGGATCGTGGATCAGTAGCAGGGAGAGGAGGAGCTGTACAAGCTGCACATGTGAGCCAGGACTGCAGGGCTGGTGGGCACTGTGACTCATCCCTCCCATTTTGCCTGAAGTAAGGAACTATGCACAATCACTACTGTCTGAGTAATTCCCACGTGCCAGTACATCATCTGAGAGTCTTACTGAGTTCTCATAGCAACCCACGTTGTGGTTTCTAGTATTAAACCTGGTTAATGGGTAATGAAACTGAGATCTAGAGAGTCTGGGCACCTTGTCTGAGGCAGTACAGCTTAGAGTGACGTAAGAGGACTGAAACACGGGGTCAGCCCAGGACCTCCTTTCCTGTACACTCAGAAAGAACATACTGCTGGCCTTTGTGGAGGTGAGAGTCGTCATGGAAAGAAGGCACAGACCAAGGGAGTCTGGGAGCCTAATGTTTCCAACCTCAAGGAATAATCTCTTCCCGTCTGATTTTAGACTGAGGTCAGAGATACATTACTCAGCAGTTATCATGATGGGGAGGGGATTTTGCTTGGACTGCTGTCTAAGGGCAGAGACTAGTACAGAACCCGGCTATTCACCTGGAAAGTCACTTCTCTTCCTCGGGATTCCTTCTTAAAGAATGTTTGAGATGATGATACTGATCTGATGTTCTAGCAAAGTCTCACCAGTTTGCTAAAGTCTGGCTCCTCTAGGCGTATAGCCTCATTAAGAAATCTCGAGTTTTCCTTCATCGCTTTATCAGTAGCTATCAAAACTTCAGTTTTCAAAAAACAACATTCTATAAAAATCTACTTCTCCTTTCAACAGTGTGATAACAACAGTTTGTACCTGGTGACTAATAAACCTTTCAGAAACTTTAAAGCTTAATTAATTCAGCAGTTTCTGGATGTTGTAAATAACTAGGCAAGTTCATACACATCCTCTCCTTCAGCCAGCTTCACAAAAGATTTTCAAAACAAACAGAGAAAGGAGCAAACAGAACATTCCCTTGGCTGTCACAGGTAGATATAGAATTTTTCTACAATAAATCAAGAAAGATATGTACTTGCCATTTTGATTTTCAAAATTATCATCCAGCATTATAGTAGCAGACATATCCCATTAGTTGGGGGAAAATAACTCTTTAAAGACTTGACAGTTTTTTGCTTCTCCATGAAAGGATTTCACTCTTCTTTGGATATACTCTGGTTTCTTGGGTTGAATGACACTGCATCCATTGAGCAGTGGTGGCACAGTTTTAATCCTAGCCTAAGGGACGCAGAGACAGGAGGATCTCTAAGTTCAAAGTCAGCCTGGTCTACAAAGCAAGTTCCAGGACACTCAGGGGTACACAGAGAAACCCTGTCTCAAAAACCAGAAGGAAAAAGAAAATGAGGTCAAATTCATTCAGACCAATGAGTGTGTTAGGGTAATCTGGCCATAAGAGCTGGGGTTTGGTCCCCCACCATTAACAAGCTCTACGACCCTTCTTAATGTCTCTTTCTGAGTCTCTTTAAAGTAGTGAGAGGTTGAGAGAAGGTGACCACTAGGCTCCCATCCAGTTCTAAAAATGCTATGCCTGTGCTCCTGACAGCACTCTCGGGGGAACACACAAAGACTGTCTTGACCTTTTGATAACATAGAATAGGAAGACGCTTATCGTTCCCCAACTGTCAGAAAATGGCATGAAAGAAATTTAGTGTTTATTAATGCTCACTTGGGTCAAACACTGTACTCCCTTCTTTCCTACTACCTTCAAGGAAGACATGATTCTCCTCATTCTGAGAATGAAGAAGCAAAGACACAAATAGACCAAGTGACTTTTTCAAGGTCACACCGATGGTAGTGACAAGTGGCAGAGAAGGAGCCATTGTTGCTGTCCACACACTTCATCTACTTTTCCATGATTTGAGAATGAAGTCATGCCAGGCAGTGGTGGCACACGCCTTTAATCCCAGCACCTGGGAGGCAGAGGCAGGCGGATTTCTGAGTTCGAGGCCAGCCTGGTCTACAGAGTGAGTTTCAGGACAGCCAGGGCTACACAGAGAAACCCTGTCTCGAAAAAAAACAAAAAAAAAACAAAAAAGAGAGAGAATGAAGTCACCTCTAGAAGATTCCAGCTTCACAGAGGGCCACCACACTAAGCTCCTGCCTGCAAGCATAACAGACTGTCATTAATGATGTCAGGGATTGATGGTTGCCCGTGGGATGGTCTCAGGTTGGGCCAGTCATTGGTTGGCCATTCCTTCAGTCTCTGCCCCATCTTTGTCCTGCATTTTTAGGGGAGACAAATTTTGAACCAAAAGTTTTGTGGGTGGGTTGGTGTGTATTTGGGATGTAAATACAATAATAATTAATTTTTTTTAAAAAAAAAAGAAGACTTCAACTTTCCAGATGTGGAATTGGGGAAAGATGGCTAATTTTAACACACCTATTGGGAGGACTCATTTCTCTAGAGCAGAGGTCAGCAAACTTCTGCGCCACATGTGATCTGTCCCATATTTTGGAAACAAGGCTTGTTGGAGCAGAGTTGACTTTTCTGGCTTACAAATTGCTTGTAGGTGCTTTTGCACCATGACAGCTGAGCTGAGTATTAGGCTAGATTGGATAGTTCACAAAATACCAAATATTTATCATCCGGTTCTGGACACAATGTTTATCCAGAGTCTAGCCAACTGTCCCTTCTCCAAAGAACACAGTAACAGTGACATGACACTGTCCTTCGTTCACCAGGCCCTATCGCTTGCCTTCAGATGAAAACAGAACATTTCTACTCAGATCTGTTTTGGGGGGCCAGGAAGGATAAGCAAATAGACTCAGAGTACCTGTCATGCAAATGAGGGAGTCTGGTTTTCATTGTCCTCTTCTTCCCAGGAACACTATGAAGGGGAAACAGAGAGCTCAATTTTGGGGAAATTACACAGGGTAAGGGGGAGGAGATTAGTTACAACATACCATTGCAACACTCTCAGGGTTGACAGTGACAACAGCAAAGGTTTCTCTTTTTGGAAATATGAGGGTTTTTCCGCTTCTGACAATGGAACGGAGTGACAGCAGCACAGGCTGGTGAGTGACTTCTTTCTTTATAAGCAACCACCTTGAGCCTGAAATGGCAGTCACTAGTCTCTATTGCCTTGCTGCAGCCTCGGGATGGAAGTCTGCAGGGGACCCTACAGTCACCTAATCTCTCTCCTTCTCATCCTTCTGTTTCATTCAGAGGCAGCCTGCCGCCCTTCTGGGAAAAGACCCTGCAAGATGCAAGCCTTCAGGTAAGTCTCCCAAAGACATAGAGTTGCATAGACCAAGGGCCAGAGACACATACCATATGTCCAGGGTATACACAGAAATGGGATGGAAATGGCTATATATCCTTGATTCAAGAACAGTGTGCTAAATGCAGTCTTTAAGGCTTATGTTTTAAAATAGTACATGCATGGACAACAGGACAGTTGATTGTGCTCACTTTCTCAGACATCTAGATGTTCAGTAAGTGATGAACAGGCATCCAGGCAGAATGCTAGCTTTGTGATCTAGCAAAGAGGAATACTGCAGCAGGACACAGTCAAAGGCTCAGACAAACAGTCTACACTCTGTCTGTGTTGACCTGGAAAATATCTCTCTTTGGAGTTCCAGGTTTCCTTAACTGTAACATGATACTGGTTTGATGACAACCCCTTGTGTGCCTTACAGGATTGTGAACACTAAATACATGAGTGATACTGTAACCATGTTCTGAGACCTGTGGTCTGAGAACTGTAAAGTGCCTGAAAAATGACCTGAGTTTTAAAATTGGATCAAGAGCCTTGGGAGATGCCATCAACCATATAGTAAACATGACAGGCCTCGATTTTGGTTTAAAAGTGAATAAAGAGATTGTTGGTGTATACGATCCTTCCTGAGAGTGAAGTCTGTGTGGAGTCACTTCCCTTTGACCCTGTCTGCTTTGGACCCACAGCTGGAGGCTGGGACTCTGACTGTGAGTCTATGCATCTATCCCAAGGCAAATCTGTCCCACAGATCCAGTAACTGCTTCGTGAGATTTACCACCACAACCTCTTAGCTGCCCCAAGAGAGGTCCCTGGAGTCCTGTTAGCAAGGTTATTGAGTCCCTTTAGTTTGAAGCTCTCTGGAGATGTAGAGACCAGTCACAAAGGCACAAATATTCCTTCACATGCAGAGTACTTAGTTTGACCTCCACCCAGCCCTGAGCTCCTGGGCTGCCTCAAGCTACCCAAGGAGTTCTGTCAGCTATCATGATCAGGTAAAGAGACAGCTCCAAGGTCATATCACCAGGGCTCTATTACCACACCTCACAGGTGCTTGCCTCTCTGAAAGTCAGAAGGCCGTTCACCAAAAAGTCAGAGAGTGACAAACAGGCCACTAGAGAGGAAGCTGATTTGTTCCCAAGGACAGCTGTCCCTGCCAGACCCAGAGCAGGTGATCCAGCAAGAGAAGTAAAGGCTCCAGTTACAGACTTGCAGCTCTGAGAAGTAGAGTGGCTTAAAGTAGGAGTAGTAGTCAAGCCAGAGTACCTTGGCTACAGTATATCCCAACCCTTGAACCTGTAATACTATGTGGTGGCCACTAGCTACAGGTGGCCATCTAAATTTACACATAAATGCATGAAAACAGAAGAAAGTCCTGTCCCTGGCAGCTCTACTTAGTGGAGTGAATATAGGATGTGTTTGTATTGCCTAAGGTTCTATCAGATCCTGATGTTCTATAGAAAATTCTGCTGAAGCCATGGATGTCCATGCTGGGATTTTGGGGTAAGGAACAAGGAAAAGAGGTTTTCTGTTCACCAGCTGTGAGAGATGGGCCCATCTCTTACATAGTATTGGCTTGAATCTTCTCATTTGTGTTATGAACTTGGTAAGCATCACACTTCCAGCAGATCTAGATGTAAATTAGGTGACTCTGAAGAAGTAGAAAAGGGCTCTGTACTACCTACTCCAGCTAGGCCATTTTGCTTTTCAGAATCTGGGATACTAACCAGAAGACCTTCTACCTGAGGAACAACCAGCTCATTGCTGGGTACTTACAAGGACCAAATACCAAACTAGAAGGTAAGTGAATAACAAGGAAGCTGATGTAACGTGGGCATGGAGTCCTTCCCCTGCTCCTCTGACTGTAGGTAGGATGTTCTCATTTCTGTTGAGTTGGAAATGAGAGGCTTGACTACCAGGGGACACATGGGAGTGGCCTTAAGAGAGTAGAAAAGATAGAGGCTGGGTCACAACACCCCAGGGACACAGCTAGGAGGAACAGAGGCCAGAAGGCACCACTGCACCTCCTTAGTCCTTCTGTGCTGGTAGACCACCATGCCCCAGTGATATTCAAACTCTAGCCTTGCCCTAGGCTAATATAGTATGTGTGTGGGGTAGCATTTTTACTGTAGACACTGCCCTCATCCTGTACTCATCTACACTAGGGATAAAGCTAGATGAACTTGGAGGAGCATCACCTACAGATTCTTCAGTTTTTCTTTTAGAAAAATGAGGGCACTTGGTTGACAGAATTTGAATTTCCCTTAGCCCTGGAGTTTAAAATTCCCACATCTCTGTGATGGAAGGAAGGATTACCTACATTTCCTCAAGCCCTCTACTTTTCTGTATCACTCAGCAGTTATGCAACTGGCTTTTCCTGTCTTTCTAGTAATTCTCCCATGAATACACTCATGCACAGAAAGCTAGGTTTTCTATTGCTACCCAGTAGCAGGATGGAAAGGTGGACTGTATGGAACCTATTCATGGGTCTTGTGAGCTTTGTGCCTCTGTCTACTAACAATGTATCTGTTGACCTGTAGGGTTGGTTCACTGGAGAAAGTACAGGAAAGCTGGGAACAGAGTAGGTAGAGTGTGCTCATTTGGATCTATTGCTTGGAAGCAGACTAGAAAGATAGAGCCTGCCTGACCTTCTGACCTTGTAGTTTTAGTTTTAAAAAGGAGACAGAAAATATCCACACACTCTCCCCTACCCCTGCCTCCTCTTCTCTCTTTCTGACCCTGCTCTCTACTCTTCTCCAGAAAAGATAGACATGGTACCTATTGACCTTCGTAGTGTGTTTTTGGGCATCCACGGGGGCAAGCTGTGCCTGTCTTGTGTCAAGTTTGGAGATGATATCAAGCTCCAGCTGGAGGTAAGAATCTGGTTTAGCTATCAAATCTGTCTAAAACTCAGTAGCTATGACAAGCACAGGTATTTCTCATGAGCCTGTGAGTATGCAAGGATGAGGGAGACTTTTCCTTCCTCACAGAGGACTATTTTGAGGTCACTCCTGAAGCAGTGTCCACAGTGTTCTTGGTTGGTATTGATTGTCCAAGGTAGTTTCTCATCCTCTAAACCACTCTTTATGAGACTTCTTTGTATTCAGTAGACATTCTGAGCTTCCTTGAAACGTAGTGGCCAACTTTTATGAGAGATTGTTCCAGAAAAATGAGCCTCAATGTCAAAGTGCTTATTAAACTTGGACTTACATAAGTCTATTGGCAGAAACCTGTGGTGGGGTTGATATGGACTCACTGTAGAAAGGCACTGCACAAGGGCCTAACCTCTAGGAGGAGACATTTTCATGGAGAAGCCCCTCTATAACACCGTCACAAGACCTGAACCACCGTGGGTCCTGTGTCTCCTAAACTACTTGAACCTCCCCTCTGCTAACAAGGTCAATTCTCAAGACTATGCTCTTCCAATCACTATCTATGCACCAGTTGTCTATTATCTATGCTACTAACTTGCATCCCACACAGATCTGTGTTACTCCTTTACCTAGTCAGTAGCAATGGGCTGTTCAAACATTATCTTGAGGGCTAGTTGGACAAACTTTAACCCAACTGCAAATAGCCACAACCATGAGTTTGTTGCTAACTCTTACCAATGGACAGGACCACCTTTTAGAGGTGGGTGGAGAGGAGCGACTAATGTAATAAGGATGACCAGGGTATCTCACATAACACACCCTATGGGCTTTGAGACACCTTACCCCTTCTTTACATCTCTTTTTCCTTAAAAGAATCAGATTCTGACAGATCACTGCTGCTATGGCCTTAATCTATGCTGATGGGAACATGTGTTTGTTAGACTTACTGGGCCATGGCCACAATGGCATGAATGTGCAAGAGATAACAACAGGACAACCCCTTCTACTTGTGCTATTTTAAGAAATGTGGAGCCTGTGCTCTTTAGCCAGGTCTCCAAGCTCATTTCATGACCATCAGAGGGTAGCAACCTTATAGGAGGCGTAAAGATAGGCAACCAGGACTTTCTTGGCCCTCAGCAATTACCTGACCATTTTTTGACTTCCAGGAAGTTAACATCACTGATCTGAGTAAGAACAAAGAAGAAGACAGACGCTTTACCTTCATTCGCTCTGAGAAAGGCCCCACCACCAGCTTTGAGTCAGCTGCCTGTCCAGGATGGTTCCTCTGCACAACACTAGAGGCTGACCGACCTGTGAGCCTCACCAATACACCAGAAGAACCCCTTACAGTTACAAAGTTCTACTTCCAGGAAGACCAATAGTACTGCCTAGGCCTGTCTTTCCCCACTCCCAGGCCAGCAATGACCATCAACTGCCTGATCACTCTGGCCATCATTGGGGTCTGAGGAACAACTTTTGTAGGGTGTACAGTAGAAGGAGACAGAAGAGTCCTGATGACAGATCTCTGCCTTCAGTCTGTTGGCTGACACAATCCCCATGATAATTCCAGAATAATCTTTCAAATTGGATCATGGCAGGCCTTTGCTCAAAGCCCTTTCTTGTTGCCTCTGCCATCTGAGTGAAGTGTGGAACACTTGCTTGGCCTAGGAGTCTTCTGATCACACACACATACATACATACACACACACACACACACACACCAATCAAGTCACTTGACAATATCCCCCAAGTGGCTCCCTTACCCTATTTTATAAACCTGTACTGGACTATGGAGAAGGTTTTTATTCTCCTTGTTAATTCATTTTGGGTTTTTTGATGCTTGGGATGAAACCCACCAGGGCATCACATACACTAAATATGCTATGCTTCCAGCTCAGGAGGACATTTTTAAGCATTGAGAAAACAGAGATTAAGGCTCTCATAGTTATTTTATTAGGCCAGCCTTATTCCATAGGCTTCTTGTGGAAATTACATTCTTTCTGAGAGGAGCTGGGGATCAGATGCTCCTGCATTTGTGAAACGGTTGTAAGCATAAGAAAATAAGTGATAGACTTTCCTCCTTTCCTTTTTTTGTGTGTGATGTCTTAAACTGAAAAGTTAAAATTTGGTGGACTATAGTATTCCCATAATCTTCCCCCTTCTTTTTCTTCTTCTTCTTCTTTTTTTTTTTTTTTTGAAATTTCCAACATCTGTATTTCTCTATCCAGCCCAAACACCATCTTCACTCCAAACCTACCACAGCTGCCCAAAGAAGTTCCCCACTATCTCTGTGAAAATATGGCTCTCAGGCCCTTCTTGGTGTGGTGAATGAATGAGTGTATCTACTGATTATTTCTTAGACAGGAAGCATCGTGTTCGTGTGTGTTCGTGTTTGTATGTGTGCATGTGCTGTGTGTGTGTGTGTGTGTCTATGTATGTTGGGTCCCTACAAGGATGAGCACCCTTTTTGGCTCCTAGAAGACACTCAGAGAATATGTGTTATATGTGCTCATGGAAAATTTCTTACTCTTCCCTGTGATTTTAGCTTTATTTTACAATAAAATACTGAAAATGTCCACTTTGTTGGTTGTGACCATGACCTGAGGCCTAAAGCATAAGGGTGCTGGGAAATAGGAAAGGCAGGAGATTTTTTTTAATTCTATGGCTAGAGAATAGTTGTCTCCTCTCTGAAAGTCTTCTTCCTCATTTCTAGGTAACAAGACACCCTTGCCTGTAAATTATAGAGAATTGTTGTCTACCATGAACCCACCAAGTAAAAGCAACCCAAATACTTATCATGGGTTAATAAACATACAAGAATCAGATCTGCACTCAACAGAAAGTCCCACAATGGCAAAGATAACAAAGGAGCCACAAACAGCTCCACCCAACCCAATAGATGAATCTTAACAGACACTTGGTTCAAAAATCACTAAAGTTCAAATGCTCGAGGGAGGTCAAACACCAGGCAACCAGTTAATAGTCAACAAAGGGGTAAAACAAATGTTCCACTGAATCCTGTGGACACAGTTTCATCTCCTGTGTTGTTTGCCATGTGTGCTCAGAAAGAGCTACTTAAAACTCTTCTCAGGGGTTCAGTTTTCCCACCTCTGTTTGCAAATAAAAGCTTATGCAGAAGAGTGATCTACCACCTTTAGTCTTTGTAATATCCTTCTCTAATGAGTAGTATCATGGTTACTATTATCAGTCCTGGAGGAGTTAGTGCACAAGGACTCTATTTTAAAGCTTCCTTGCTTCAAGTATGATCCACTATTTGCAACCCCATCATTTGGGAATAAAATGTCAGCTCCTTGGGCTTCACACCAGACTTCCTGGCTTAGAAGCTCACGTTAACCAGATTCCTAGAAAAAGCATACAGGCTAAAATTTGAAAAGCACTATTTTCGACAGGTGTGGTGATGCACACCCTTAGACCCAGCACTAGAAATCAGAGTAGGCAGATCACTGAGTTTGAGGCCAGCCTGGTCTACAGGGCAAGTTCCAGGACAACTAGGCTACACAGAAAAACTTTGTTTCAAAAGGAGGAGGAGGGGAAGGAGGGGGAAGAGGACAAAGAAGAGGAGGAGGAGAGGGGAGAAAGGGAGGGAGGGGAAGAGGAAGGGAAGGAGGGAGGGAAGGAGTGGGGGAGAGAAAATAAAAGCACTGCCTTCCCAAACTGCTGCCATGCAGTGTATGCACCCCAGCACATTTACCAATAGGGTTACCATAATTATAAATTCCACCTTCTCTCTGTCTCCCCTACTCCCTGTCTCATGACCATACCAAAACCTCCCCTTCTTTCAATTAGCAATAATCATGCCTCAGATGAACCTCATTGGCTACGATACTACCACTACACAAAGCTTAAAACTTCCCCCTCTTATTGCTGTAGTTAGACTTCAGATGTTTCTTAAAATATTCTGAAAGGAAAGCTTTAGGCCACAACCATCTGCAAAAATGTCAGTCCAACACATCCAAGAATCTCTGTCTCACGCATATATACATCAATATCTTGTGAATAGTAGCTACTTGAAGTTAGCCCCTGTACACATCAGTAGGAATTTACAAATTAGGTCAGCCAATAAACCTGTGTGGACTGGATTGAGACCAGGCAAGTTTTGAAGGAGCTCATAAACCAGGGAAAAATGTGGAGCAGAGCAGAGAAAAATGACACCAGATGGCAGTAGCACTCACGCACTTTAGTAAGCAATGTTCTTTCACCAGTACAAGGTGGATGCTCACCACCAGCGTCTGCCCAAGCCTGATGGAGGTCCCACACAGAAGGGGAAGAGAGCAAAAGAAGCCCCAGGATAGATGGGAGTTGAAGAGGAGGTTTCCACACCTAAGGAATGTCTCTCAGAGACACATCAGGGAATCTCTGATTTTTTACTCCAAAGGGAAACAATTTGGCATAAAGTTATTGGGTTTAGTTGGGTCTGTATCTTGGCAGCCAATAGGACTTTAGTGGACAAGCACCTGCTTATTTGGGCTATATTTAAAACAACAAATGTGCAGACATTTGAGTTTGACACGGCTGGGCTTTGGAGTTCTTGGCTTGCACTGAAGATACCAGCCACTACACAAAATCCATCTTTGGATTTGGAGTGGAACAAGGAATGGAATGCAGCAGGGGAGACCAGGCTGAGGTAGCACATTCAAGGGAAGTCTCCTTCCAGTTAGGAGCAGTAATGGTGAGACTGGGGTAAGTCTGAGGACATGAAAGCTTAGGTTGTGAGGGTCTAAGGTGCTTTAAAGTATGTAAATGCACCTTGTAAAAGAAAGTGACTTAAGTTATATAAAAAATGAACAACTCTTCAGATTTCTTTCCCTCGCTGTGCTATTGTTATACTAAGACTTCGAGCGTTCAGAATTTTAACAATCAAGAGTTCTGATGAGCTATTTGTTGTAAGTCAGGTGCTCACCAGCCATCTTTCTCAGCACTAGCAGCTTATTGATGTCATCACCCACCGCCATGTGATAGGTCTCATTGCCACTGTCACTGTGAGTTCATATTTCCAGGTCCCAGACACGCCAAATTGCTCCTGGTCACTCTCTCCCTCCCTCTTCCCTCCTCTCTCTCTAGGAATGAGAAAATTGCTGATTCTTCAGAAGTGTGTGATATACACCTGTAATATCACCACTTGGGTAGCTGAGGCAGGAGGATTGTGAGTTGGACACCACATGGGTTGCAAACTGAAACTACTTTAAAGAAAGAGAAATTGATAATTCCCTGCTGTCTCAATCATAAGGTTGGCTAAAATGCTAGGTGTGGGAGGCACAGCTTAGCATAAGCATTGGAGAAACCAGGATCATCAAGCACAGGTAGGCGGCTTGAAGGGGTGCTATTTTCTTCAACAGAAGGAAATAAATGGCACCTGGTCACCTGGAATGCTGGATTAAGTGGCTAGAAAAAAATCTGGTGGTTTTTTTTTTTTTTTTTTGCTATTCTATTATGAGCCAACTTCCACCTGAATCCCCACAATATCCTGAGAATTGTTTAGGCCCTAATTCTGGGCCTTGTCAACAGTAACTAGAACTCATTCCCATGAAAGAGGCCTGTCTTAATTAGGGTTTTAACTGCTGTGAACAGACACTATGACCAAGGCAACTCTTATAAGGACAACATTTAATCGGGATTGGCTTACAGGTTCAGAGGTTCAGTCCATTATCATTAAGGCAGGAACATGGAAGCATCCAGGCAGGCATGGTGCAAGAGGAACCTTCATCTGGAGGCTGCTAGCAGAAACTGGCTTCCAGACAGCTAAGAGTAGGGTCTTAAAGCCACACCCACAGTGACACACCTACTCCAACAGGGCCACATCTTCTAATAGCGCCACTCCCTGGGCTGAGCATACACAAACCACAACAAGGTCCCATGTGCTTTGCATTCTCCACCAATAGAATCCATCCTTACGCTTGTCACAGATCCTACACCCTAGCCCTTGTTTATCAGCCAATAGAATTCATTCTTATTGTAAAGGTCACAGGTGCTTTGCTGCCTTGCTAGGGAGTTTCTATGTAACTATGCCTAACACTGTATTGTTATAACTGTCATGTGGAAACTTTTTTCAAAAGTTTTACTATGCTTAAATATGTAAGAAGAATAAACAGTAAGGGTAACCTGGAGGTTTTTCGGGGTTGGTTGGTTGGTTGGTTGGTTGGTTGGTTGGTTAACTGGTTGATTTTGTTTGGTTTGGTTATTTGAGACAGGATTTTTCTGTGTAACAACCCTGGCAATCCTGAAACTCGCTTTGCACACAAGGCTCTCCTCAAATGCACAGAGATCTGCCTGTCTCTGCCTCAGTTCCCAGAGAGTTTCATTCTTCACATTACGTCTCCAACTGCTTGAGGGTCATAAGGCTTGTGGGTACCTGACAACTTGGAACTTCACTTTTTTTGGCAAATAGTTTAAACAATGTCACTATGACTGATATTAAATCGGTATAGTTTTTGTAGTTTTGTTTATAAAATATCTAATCCACAGAAGTAAATCTCAAAATGTTTTCTATTGAACCCAGTTATCTTAGAAAAGAATGGATTGTGAAAAAGAATTGGGGTTCTTATTTATGAAGTTGAATAGAGGAACCATGGGCTTTGGTGTCTTGATCGCACGGGGGCAAGAAAAGAAGTTCAGAAAATTTCCACCAGAGGGCAACCATCCAAAAAAGAATCTTGGTTAGACACCTCCAATTAGCTCAGTTCTTGCCTCAGACTAGTCAAATTTTGTTTTTTTCCAGACTCCCCAGGGAAAATCTGCCCCCACACCCTTCTAGGCTTTCTTATCCACCAATCAAGGCAATTTAAGATAGTTACTTGGTAAAGTGCATAACCCCACCACCCCCTCAGGACTGTGTTCCCCAGGATGGCCTTATCCTGTGGCTCTGTGTGCCTCCTGGGAACCAGTCCATATAGCTCTCTAGATCTTAGCCTCTCATACTCCTCTTTTTGTTGACACATTCCGAGAGGAATATGACATCTCTCCCTATCCCACTCAAAGGATCAAAGGGACCTCAGGGCACCTTTGGCCCTACAAACACAGGACTGTGTGTTTCAGAACAGAGCTTGAAAATTATAGTTCTAGCTGGGTATTAGAACCCAGCATCGAAAAACTATTTGAAAGCCTCATTCATATCAGTGGGTTATATTTATTGTTGGGCTTCAGACCCCAGAACAAACAGCTGAGATGCATATCTTTCATACCAAAGCAGACCTGGCCTCTAGGTTCTCCCAACATCCCTCAGTCCCTACCTAGCATATGCTGCCTTCTACTCTACCATCCCAGCCCAGGGACTGGGCTGCCCTTCCCCCACAGACTCTTCCCTTATAACCAGACATTTTAGTCTCTCTGTCCCCTTTCTCCTCTTTTGTCTCCCAAGAGCTCTTTCTCTCTTTCTCTTCCTCCCTCCCTACTGTCTCCTTCCGCCATGGCAACTTCCCTTGCCTCCTTCCTTGGGGCTTGAGAACCTGCCCTCCTTAGAGCAGCTTCCCAAAAAACCTACATTTATACATAATTTAATCTGGCTTGAACTGGCTCATTTTACCAATGGAGAAACAACAACATTTATAGCCAACCAAAAGCAATGATATGTAATGTAAGTGACACATAGAAAATGTAAGTGACATACAGAGATCAAGGAATGGTTCCATCTGCCATCTATTTTGTTTGAGCAATTGGAAGTCCCCTTCCCTTTTAATTGATTGATACCCTTACAACAGTGAGGCTGTTTGTATTCAAGTTAGGCTGTGATTTGCCTGGATAGAGAAATCTTTAGGCCAGATTTAGAAAATGCAGGAACAGCTTTATACTAAACAGTTCAATTTAACATGAAGTAGTGTCTCGTTGTTGATTTGAATTTGCACAGTATATTAAGTATTTCACTGTGTTCTGCTTAGCCGCTCATCTATATTGTAATAA